AGCAGTAGCCGCGGCAATGCGTTGCTTCGCTGCGTAGTTATCATGCCGGGGTTTTCGCCGGCCAACTGGAGGTCAGACGCGGAGTCTAGCTTTGCCATTTCTCTCTGACCTCTGAAGAACGATGGCCCCGGGCCAACCAGTGGCCAGCATCGGGGCACAAACGGGACAATCACCGTCGCCTCATAATCATAAAGCGCTGTTTGCAACTAACGCATTGCTCGCAGCACATCGAGAGCACGCTCGGCATCGCGCCTCGCATTCAACGTTTTGGCCGCCTCCCAGACCCTCTCGATATTCTTCATGTAGGGGGGCTCTTTCTGTCCACGTGGCCGCGCGATTTTAATCGAGTCCAGCTTAATGCTTCTCTTCGGCCCCATCGGTTCACTTGTCCGCGCGGCCGGTCTCATCAGCTTTCTCGGGCACAACCAATGTCAAACCGAAAGCGCCCGAGAGGCCCCATTTTGGACCCACTGGGTTTTGGGTCAACCATCGAGCGCTTCTGTTCAAGGTACCAACTGACGATGTCGCCCCTGTGGGTCACGCCAGTCGCAGCAAAATGGGATTGCAATATCCGCGTGGAATTTCTGCACTTCCGCATGACGAATAAATCGAAGGCCGCTGTCTTGCCCCCGTTCAACTCCTGCGCCCATGCTAGGCCCCATGGCTCTGCGAGCAAGGCGGGCATCGCAAACCGTGCGACGACGCCCGCAGTCTGCGGCGCTCGTTAATTCTTCTATCACCGGACTGCGCCCTGTCTCTTGAGACGATCGTGTTTCTTCGGGGGTTCCCCTCGCGCGTGGCCATCCGCCTGCGCGATGTCCTCGACGTCCGACAGCCATTCGATCATCTTCCGCTTGGTCATCGTCGCCGGTCTGTCTCGCGCTCTCGATCTGCAGCCCGCGCCAACTCATATCAAAATCCGACTTCAGAACAAGCGCTCCGGCTCGCGCGGGGCGCCGTCTCCCTGCAGAACGGGCGCAGCGCCGCGCCTAATCTGATGCGTTGAAAGCAGTCATATACAAAATTTGGACCCGCGGCAACTTGCCCCAACCTAGCCAGCATCTCCGCGGAAAGCTGTTGCCCCTTTTCCACGGCACTTGGCTCTCGCGCGATGCGGCCGCGCAAACCGTGGGTTTCCGCGGATTTATCTCCAATTGCCGCGCGCAGGCGCGGCGCGCCAAGGAGCGCGCCCTGGGCGCGTCAGCGAACGCCGGGCTCTCGTTAGTCACGAGAGCGGGGGGGCCCCTCCCGATGCAGCGCGGCAATCCGATATTTCAGGCGGGCTGCAACCCGAGAACGATCAGCCCCGTTGCCGTTTGCCGGCATCTCCTCGAACTGGATCGCATGAGCTGTCGGCGTCGACTCGCGCTCGCCCTTCAGCCTCCTCCGAAGCAAATCCTGCCTTGTCTTTTCCCCTGCCGCAGCGCGCCACTCCGCGGCGCATTGTGCGCTGGCCTCGCCAATCCGCAACTCAACCCCTTGGTGAATCACCGCCTTGCCAATATCCCCATTTCTCGCCATGGTTGCTTGGGGACCATCTTTGATCCTGGTCGGCGCGACGCGATCCGGAGACGCGCGGCGGGATATGATTGTTCCTTCGTTGCCTGCGAGGGGAGTCTCACACGCTCCAGGAAGCCCGCCGACGCCCCGCTCCATGTCTATCGCATCACCAACGAGATAGGTTCGCGGGCTTTCCGCCACAGCAGCGCTGGCGTCTGCGTTGGGTGCATTCTCGGACGGCCCAACGGGCGCGCCCCCCTTCGGTCCCAGAGAGATTCCCGCTGAATCCGAGCCAGCTCCGGAAGAGCCGCGATGGGCAAGCTTCGCTGCTAGCATGTTGATGGCGACTTGCAACTGAACGCCACCTTGTTCTTGGCTGGCGCCCCTCGCTGTCTTGGTGCGCGCATTGCCCATTGTCGATGGCTCCCCAGCGTTGGCCTCTTCGACGGAATCATCCGAGTATCCGGGGGGCCGAATAAACTTGCGTCCAATGACCACGCGCTTCTGCGCCTCCTCCGCGCTCCGGTCCAGGAGGTGCCTCTCGGCGCTGTCTAACAAGCAGGGTTAAGAACTTTCTTCCACCGCGGGAAATCTGGGACGACGGGGCGCTCTTTGCCCATGACTGATGTCATCAACTGCCATACTCAATGAGGGGGTCACGCAAATCCCTCCGAAGTGTCAGAATACATAGGATAAGAAGCGGCCTCGGTCACGCTGGCGACGTCTGACCTGACCTTCGCTCCATTGCGCCAAACCTGCAATGAAGCCCAAGCTGTGGACTCTACCCAACAAAGTCAGTAGCTACGCCCCGCCCATACACTGCTTTTGAGTTTGAGCACCATGGCCTCTCCTTGATCAGATGCCTGAGACTTCGCAGCAAAGACGATGGTGAACTTGTCGAAATACACGTCGTCGAGGAAGTCCATGCATTCGGAGCAATGATCGTGCTTCATTGTTTTCAAAAAAGGTCATTATTGTCAGAGTCCCTCACGCATCCGGGGTTTCTGGTTGTGAAATCGTCCGCGTCACCTGTTCTAACCGGCTATAACAGGCATGCGTTTCCAGGACGGGCGCTCGATTCCACATGTTGGTCTCTCGACTGGTTGCACATGTAATCGACGGCGGCATCGGGGCTACTGGTCCTTCAAGCGTGCGCGATGTCTCGCAAATGCCCGGAAACGTGTTTCCACATCTCTTCGTACCAGTGAACGTTGGGAGGCGACGTGTCCAGCTTGGGCCAAAGGTCCTTGAAACGCTTGCGTCTCAGCGTTCCAATATTATCATCCTTTCTGGGTGTCCGAAACATCCAAGTGCAAAGACAGGCAGTGACTATTTATCTGATGTTTGCTGTTGTTCGCCCATAGTCGGTGGCCTTCCCCGACGTCCAGCACTTTTCGGATTCCACTATCTCCTCTTACTCTTTGAATGTTTCCCCCGCTGCTGCCAACGCGTCCTCGACAACGATCGAGGCCACAGCTGGTTCGCCAATCCTCCGCTTCCCCTTGTACAAGCGTTCGGTCTCGTTCGGGTTCGGGGGCCGAGAGTCATGTGAATCCGCCGTCTGTCCTAGCCCAAGAGCAGGGTATTCCCCGTCATCGGTAGCTAATCCATGCACGCACTTTCCATTTGTTATCACCCCAGTGCCAACAGCTAACGGACTCGTGGTTTGCATGGTGCGCAAGCAGCTGAAGTACTCAACCATACCTCGGTCAGGGATGTGCGGAGCAGAAGCATCCCTCCCAGCGGGTCTCCCTCTCTGGAAACACATACAAATCCGGGAAATCCTCGAGATTATGATGTCCTTGTTTGGCATGATCAAGCAGCCACTATCTTGCACCGGGGTTAATCGCTGCATCGGTTGCTCTGGCAGTGCCCGACGGGAGCCCCGGCATCTCCAGCAGCATGTGCCATCAGCCCGAATCATTCCGACTGACGGGCGGCGAGCCATCCCGACGAATCGATCAGTTCTAGAAAACGTGCCGGATCCAGCATTGGCCGGTATCCGGGGAAGGCCCGCAGAGGACGAGAACGCCGAAAGACCAGCGTCTCGATGTTGTCCATGCTGTGGGGCCTGGCTCCCTCCCCCTCCATCCTCACTCCCTCCCCGTCCCTCCTGAACGATCTTCCCGCCGCCCTCTTCACCCTCCCTCCCTCCTACTCCCTCCCTCCTGAACGATCCTCCCCTCCCCCTCCTCGTCCCTGCCCCCTCCTCCCTCCTGAACGATCCTCCCTCCCCCATCCCTCCTCCTCCTCCCTCCTGAACGATCCTCCCCCTCGTCCTCCTGAGCGATGTCCCTCCTCCCCCGTCGTCCCTCCTGAGCGATCCCGAGGAAGCCTCCCAGGAGGGGTCCGAGGAGGTGGGGATTCGGGGTCGGAGTTTCACGCTGCGGTGGAGACGTCGGCTTGCTGAAGATCGGGCCTCACATCGAGCCGCATCGGCGATGCGGCGCAATCCTCCGACCCCATCTTCTACGGCAGCTCATGGGAGCCTCCCATACCATCTTGTCGGCCATTGCGGATCGACGTCAGTCGACGCCAGCCGACGCCCCGCGACGCCAGCCGACGCCGAATCGGCGATGTCCCACTGACCACCCTACGCGAAGCGACGCCAACGCACTCGAGAGGCGGAACTGCGAAGGCACACATGATGTTCCTATGACTCGCAGCCAAAACCCTCGCGCTGGGCGCATGGCTGGCAGCGCGCAGGTGCCGGGCCCCGCGCCAGCGCTGGCCGCCGCCAGCTGCCGGCGCTGGGCGGGGCGGCGGGCGTTGCGGGAGGCGGCCGTCCACGTGGCGGCGGGGGGGGAGGAGGAGGACAGGGGAACGAGCAAGGGCAGAAATACGACTGACGACTCGGCGATCCGCGCGGATTTCGCGGATCGGGCGTTGGACCCGCCTCCCTGGCGCGCTTCGCGCGCCAGGGGTGGCGCCAGAGGCGCCGCCAAATAACCCAGCGCCGATCCGAGGAATCCCCGCTGAGCTGCGAGCTTCCTTGTTCATGTCATTGTTCGGTCCTGTAAAGGGAGATGAGGGAGGAGAAGGAGGAGGAGGAGGAGAAGGAGGAGGAGGAGGAGGAGGAGGAGGAGGAAAAGGAGGAGGAGGAAGTGGAGGAGGAAGAGAAGGATGAAGATGAGCACGAGAGAAAGGATGAGTCCACACACCCGGGGTGCCAGCCATGAAATCACTCCGTGACTTATTCAGATGAGTGGTGACGCTGAGGCTCCCTCCGCGTCTATATGGCTGAGGGGCTCGGCCACTCGGAGCGTCTCGATTGGTGGTGCATGGGGCATCAGGAGAGGAGAAGGAAGAGCAGGAGGAGGAGGAGAAGGAGAAGAGGAAGCATGATGAGGAAGAGAGGGAAGAGGAAAGGGAGGAGGAGGAGGAGGAGGAGCAGAAGTCGGAGGAGGACGAGAAGGAAGAGGAGAGGAAGGATGAGGACGAAGAGATGGAGGAGGAGGAAGAGGACGAAGAGGAGGATGCCCAGACCCTGGCCCCCCCTCCGCTCGGTTCGCAGATCTCGGAGCCGCCGGTCCAGGGCCACAGCAGGCCCGCGGCCTGGTTCGGGTTGCCGACGGAGTTCGAGGCTACGTGCCAGACGCCGTTCTCGATGGCGCGGAGGGGGATGTGCACCCTCCCCCAGGGCAAGACGACGCCAGAACGAGGACAGCTTCGGGAGAGGATAGGATGATATTCTCTGAGGTACGGCGGCACCGGAGGATGTCTCGGACGCTGTTCTCGATGGCGCAGAGGGGGATGTGCACCCTCCCACACAGTAAGACGACGCCAGGGTGATGACGAATTCGGATACGGATAGGTCGATAATTTCTCATAGGCGGCGTCTCCGGAGGATGTCTCCGACGCCGTTCTCGATGGCGCGGAGGGGGATGTGCACCCTCCCCCACGGGCCCAGATCTCCGACGATCTGATCGTTTCCGTCCAGGCGTTGTTCCTTGATTCCGGCCCTCGGGTGCTCGTTCTCGGTCCCCGGGGCGGTCAATAGCTGGATCCAGGACGGAAAGCTGGCCCCAGGAAGGCATTGGGAAAGCTGCTGGGATGAGCGCGGCGGGTGCCAAGGGGGTTCGGGGATTCTATCTCGCCTAACCTAGCTTCTAAAAGGGTTACAGATGTCGCATGTGGTTTGGATGCACCCGGTAAATCCACTTCGCCCGGATCGCTAAATGAGCAACTAGCGGCACTTGAGCCCGTCTCGGAGCCAGTTCAGGCCAGCTATAACCCACCTTGGCATCCACTGATAAACTCCCTTATCCCCTTAGCACCCCCCGCGCTCATCCCAGCAGATCTCCGACGGAAGCTCCCCCCATCAGTGCTTGCGCTCAGGGGCTCTCGCTTCTGCCGCTGAGGAGAGCGGATCAGTCCGGCGAGGTCTCCCCGCGCTGCCGCCTCGCTGCCGCCCGCTTGGGGGTCCCGTAGCAAGCCCTGCGCCGATCCCGCTGGGGCCGCGGATTACACACACACACACACACACACACACACACACACACACACACACACACACACACACACACACACACACACACACACACACACACACACACACACACACACACACACACACACACACGTCGTGTGGGCGAGTGCCAGAGAGGGGGTCGTCGTCAGCCCTCCGCCCCGCCCTCCCTCCTCTCCCCTTTCCTCCTTCCTCCTCCCCGACCCCATGCTCCTCCTTCGTATTCTTCCACCCCCTCCTCCTCCCACTCCTCCTCCCCATCTTCCTTCCTTCCTTCATTCCGCCGCCTCTCATTGCTCCCCCTCCTCGCTCTCTTCCTCCCTTCTTGCCTTCCTTCCTTCCTCAGTCATCCGCCTCCTTCCCTCTCGTCCGACCACCTCCTCCCCTCCCTCCATCCTCTCGTCCTGCTCCTCCCCTCTCTTGTCCTCCTCGCGCCCCTCGGGCCCCGTTGGGGCGCGCGGGAGGAGGAGGAGGAGGAGGAGGAGGAGGAGGAGGAGGAGGAGGAGGGGGAGGAGGAGGAGGAGGAGGAACAGGCGGGGCAGGACGTCGACGACGACGAGAAGGGAGAGAGGGGGGGGGGGGGGGCAAAGGGGAGGGAGGAGAGGGAGGGAAGGAACGAGCAGGACGGAGGAGGGACGGAGAGGAGGAGGAGCAAAAGGAGGAGGAGGAGGCGGAGGAGGAGGGGAAGGAGTTGTGGTGCGTTCCATCAGATTTGTGCGCCCTCTCCGGGGCGACGAGGAGGGGGAGATAGACGAGGAGAACCAGGCGGAGGACGAGGAGGGGGAGAACGCAACAGCAACGGGTTGTGGCCTGCGTGTTGGCGCCCACGCCCCCTGGGGCCGAAAAAGATCTCGAGCACCCCCCCCCCACGGGACTCCCAGACACTACCCTGGCCGATGCCTCGCAAGGTTTGGAGCAGCCTCTCGGGGCGGCTTCTCCAGGCATGGTCCGTGAGCCTCCCGGTTGTCTTCCAGATGCCATGAGGGTGATTTTTTCCCCCACATCCTGAGTGGGGTTCTTGTTCCCCACATCCTGAGTGGGGTTCTTGTTTTCCCAGAACACCCTCTCCTTCCCACCCACCTCCCGCTCCATCTTCCATACATCACAATATTATTCCTACACACACACACCATACCATACCATAGTTCCTACCACACATACCATACCATACCATACCATACCACACCATACGTACCATACCGTACCATACCATACCATGGCGTACCATAACATACCATACCATATCACACCAATGCCACACCGTACCATACCATACCATACCTCCAGTACCATACCATACCATATCATACCATACCGTACCATACCATACCTACCATACCATTCCATACCACTCCATACCGAAAACCATACTACTTACATGGTTTCGTGCCCCTCCCACCCCTCCAGGGAGGCCCCGCCTGAGCGAGGAGGGTATCGGAAAACCATACTATTTACATGGTTTCGTGCCCCTCCCACCCTCCAGGGAGGCCCCGCCTGAGCGAGGAGGGTATCGGAAAACCATACTATTTACATGGTTTCGTGCCCCTCCCACCCCTCCAGGGAGGCCCCGCCTGAGCGAGGAGGGTATCGGAATACCATACTATTTACATGGTTTCGTGCCCCTCCCACCCCTCCAGGGAGGCCCCGCCTGAGCGAGGAGGGTATCGGAATACCATACTATTTACATGGTTTCGTGCCCCTCCCACCCCTCCAGGGAGGCCCCGCCTGAGCGAGGAGGGTATCGGAATACCATACTATTTACATGGTTTCGTGCCCCTCCCACCCTCCAGGGAGGCCCCGCCTGAGCGAGGAGGGTATCCGAAAACCATACTATTTACATGGTTTCGTGCCCCTCCCACCCTCCAGGGAGGCCCCGCCTGAGCGAGGAGGAGTATCCTATTTACATGGGTTCGTGCCCCCCCGCACCTCCATGGAGGCCCGCCTGAGCGAGGAGGGTTACATACGAATTTACATGGTTTCGTGCCCCTCCGACACCTCCAGGGAGGCCCCGCCTGAGCGAGGAGGGTATCCGAAAACCATACTATTCACATGGTTTCGTGCCCCTCCCTCCCACACCTCCAGGGAGGCCCCGCCTGAGCGAGGAGGGTATCCGAAAACCATACTATGTACATGGTTTCGTGTCCCATCCCACCTCTCCAGGGAGGCAGCACCATACTATTTACATGGTTTCGTGCCCCTCCCACACCTCCAGGGGGCCCCGCCTGAGCGAGGAGGGTATCGGAAAACCATACTATTTACATGGTTTCGTGCCCCTCCCACCCCTCCAGGGAGGCCCCGCCTGAGCGAGGAGGGTATCCGAAAACCATACTATTTACATTGTTTCGCGCCCCTCCCACCCCTGCAGGGAGGCCCCGCCTGAGCGAGGAGGGCATCCGAAAACAATATTATTTACATGGTTGCGTGCCCCTCCCACCTCTCCAGGGAGACCCCGCCTGAGCGAGGAGGGTATCCGAAAACGATACTATTTACATGGTTTCGTGTCCCTCCCACCCCTGCAGGGGGGCCCCGCCTGAGCGAGGAGGGTATCGGAAAACCGTACTATTTACATGGTTTCGTGCCCCTCCCACCCCTCCAAAGAGGCCCCGCCTGAGCGAGGAGGGTATCGGAAAACATGCTGTTTACACGGTTTCGTGTCCCCCCTCCACTCCTCCAGAGAGGCCGCGCTTGAACGAGGAGGGTCGCGGAAAACATTACTCTTCGCCAGGTTTCGTAGCCCTCCCCCCTTCCAGCGGGGCCCGCCAAAGCGAGGAGGAAGGCATCAAGAACATGGGTCCCACGAAACCGTGAATCTCTTTATGTGGGGAACTCCGTTAGCATAATTTTCCCAGAACACCCTCTCCTTCCCACCCACCTCCCGCTCCATCTTCCATACAGCACAATATTATTCCTACCACACACACCATACCATACCATAGTTCCTACACATACACATACCATACCATACCATACCATACCATACCACACCATACGTACCATACCGTACCATACCATACCATGGCGTACCATAGCATACCATACCATATCACACCAATGCCACACCGTACCATACCATACCATACCTCCAGTACCATACCATACCATATCATACCATACCGTACCATACCATACCTACCATACCATTCCATACCACTCCATACCGAAAACCAAATTACTTACATTGTTTCGTGCGCCTCCCACCCCTCCAAGGAGGCCCCGCCTGAGCGAGGAGGGTATCGGAAAACCATACTATGTACATTGTTTCGTGCCCCTCCCATACCTCCAGGGAGGCCCCGCCTGAGCGAGGCGGGCATCCGAAAACCATACGATTTACATGGTTTCGTGCCCCTTCCCACCTCTCCAGGGAGGCCCCGCCTGAGCGAGGAGGGTATCGGAAAACCATACTATTTACATGGTTTCGTGCCCCTCCCACACCTCCAGGGAGGCCCCGCCTGAGCGAGGAAGGTATCCGAAAAACCATACTATTTAAATAATTTGTGCCCCTCCCACCCCTCCAGGGAGGCCCCGCCTGAGCGAGGAGGGTATCCGAAACCATACTATTTACATGGTTTCGTGCCCCTCCCACCCCTCCAGGGAGGCCCCGCCTGAGCGAGGAGGGTATCCGAATACCATACTATTTACATGGTTTCGTGCCCCTCCCACCCTCCAGGGAGGCCCCGCCTGAGCGAGGAGGGTATCCGAAACCATACTATTTACATGGTTTCGTGCCCCTCCGAAAACCATACTATTTACACCCCTCCAGGGAGGCCCCGCCTGAGCGAGGAGGGTATCCGAAAACCATACTATTTACATGGCTTCGTGCCCCTCCCACCCCTGCAGGGAGGCCCCGCCTGAGCGAGGAGGGTATCCGAAAACCATACTATTTACATGGTTTCGTGCCCCAATCCCACCTCTCCAGGGAGGCAACACCATACTATTTCACATGGTTTCGTGCCCCTCCCACCCCTCCAGGGGGCCCCGCCTGAGCGAGGAGGGTATCGGAATACCATACTATTTACATGGTTTCGTGCCCCTCCCACACCTCCAGGGAGGCCCCGCCTGAGCGAGGAGGGTATCCGGAAACCATACTATTTACATGGTTTCGTGCCCCTCCCACCCCTCCAGGGAGGCCCCGCCTGAGCGAGGAGGGTATCCGACAACCATACCTATTTACATGGTTTCGTGCCCCTCCCACCCTCCAGGGAGGCCCCGCCTGAGCGAGGAGGGTATCCGAAAACCATACTATTTACATGGTTTCGTGCCCCTCCCACCCCTCCAGGGAGGCCCCGCCTGAGCGAGGAGGGTATCGGAAAACATGCTGTTTACACGGTTTCGTGTCCCCCCTCCACTCCTCCAGAGAGGCCGCGCTTGAACGAGGAGGGTCGCGGAAAGCATTACTCTTCGCCAGGTTTCGTAGCCCTCCCCCCTTCCAGCGGGGCCCCGCCAAAGCGAGGAGGGCATCAAGAAAATGGGTCCCACGAAACCGTTAATCTCTTTATGTGGGGAACTCCGTTAGCATAATTCCAGAGGCCCCCCCAGACAAGCGACGGCATGTTCTGCCATCACAAGAGCCGCCAGGGGGTAGGGCACTCGCCCGCTCGCGGACCGATTGTGGCGATGTCTCAGGCGGCTTGCTTGGTTCGGTGCCCCCGACTCCCCTACTTTCAGAAGAGATTGTGAGGATGTCCGGGGCGTCTCTGGAAGAAGAGGATGAGGAGACGAAGGGTGAGGGGGCGGAGGGGGAGGAGGACTCGCTCTCACACCCATGTGATCACAAACAAAGGCTCTCAACGAGACGTGCCAAAATACTGAACTGCATATTCGGGATCTCCGCGTCGATTCATGTGGCTGCGTCGAACCTCAGGAAAGCCCAGGTTGAGCTTTGAAACCGAACGTCGCTTGCTCGGCCAGTCCTGGGGGGCAAAAAAGAACCGCACGACTTTCTCAAACGTGCAGTCGGGGCGTTGACCTCAGGAACCCTAAATAAGGAACGAGGCCCCTTTTTCCCACAAGTTCAACCTCGGCTTCCTATGGAAAACCTCTGGACAACCCGAGGCAAACTCTGAAACAACCAAGGAACACCGAGCCCCTCCCTAGTGGAAAGGGGTTCCTTCTTCAGGGCCCCGACTGTATTCCCACGAGGTGCAACAGGACCTCTTCGGAGCAACCGCTCCCGCTTCCGGGAGGAGCGGGCGCAGGGTGAGCGCAAAACGAGGCGGCCGGCGGGGCGAGAGAGGTGCAGAGAGGCGATGCCCCTCCCGAAGGCCCCCTTGACCCCACCTCAGCTCATCCGGGCCACGGCTGTTGAGCGAGTTGACCAGCACCTCCCCTTTTCATCTGCCCTCCTCCGATGGGGGGCGCACCACCGACGGCGCGAAGCGGGACAGAGCCCAGCACTCCAACGACGTGCCTGCTGCCAAAACTTGCAGTCGACCCCAGGACAGGAGAACATTCCGCAAGAACACGAGACCCCCCCTCGGCCGAAACGCACAGATCATCCAGGGTACCATCCCCAGGGTGCACAAGAACATCCAACAGCAACGAAGAGTATTGAGACCCTCACCGAACCAACCTCGATCTGACACTTCGTTCGGAGAGTATACGTAATTCTAGAACCAGGCGCGCGCTCCATGCGCGCTTAGGTTCTAGTCATCCCCAGCTCTTGACAACGTCACATAGCCACAAATGGTATGAGCAAGGGGTATAATGTATCTAAAACGCGGGCAGAGCAGCTCGACAAGGATAGTTGCATAATACGAAATACGAGGTTATGCGCAGAAGTGACAGAAATGGAGTGACCAATACTGCAGCGCCGTGAAACGCATTGCCATGACATTGATCCAGGAGCTGGGCCAAATGCAGCTCGAAGCGCTACAAGCACAATGTAGCAACACAGCTGCACACCAATGCAGCGCAATGACACTGAAAGCAAAGTCGAACAATGATCGCCTGTGCAATATGGATCACGAGACAACGCAATGTCACATGCAACGGAAAACATACCAACGGAAAACAATGCAATCCAACACACAACAATGCAAACTACCGAACATGATTCCGGGAACTCTGAGATCCCAGGGACGAGCCGCCTTAGAAAGAGCCCAAGAGCACCCCAGGGGGAGCACAAGACAGGACCAACGGGAACCTGAGAACAGCCAATGAGTTCCCCGAGAAAGGCCCCAATGGGGGCCCAAGCGTGGCCCAAGGAGCTCCAAGCAGGCTCCAGAACGGGGCACAGGAGGGACTCAAGAGACGCCCCAAGAGAGCCAGAAGATGGCGTCAGAAAGAGAGGGCCCGAGGAAACGCCCTCAGCCCTAAAAGCAAGCCGCGAGGGATCACGAGCAGCCCAAGAGTGGCGTCAAAGGTGCCGCAAGGGGATCCCGAAGTGGGCTCCAAGAAACCCCTTGTTGGCCTGGCAGGGGTGGAGCCTGGCGCGCGCGGCACCAAACTCGCACTGAAACGCCTGCGGCAAAACCGAGGAAGGGTGACATCGCGACGGTGGCGGTGGCACAAAGCGCACCCCAGGCTCTGGCAAGCCGTAGCCCTTGACTGAAGCAGTGAACCACAAATTGTTTGAACCCGCTGTGAAAGAATACCAATCACGCGGATCACATCGCATCGCCCCGCCAATTTCGGCACGCCCCTCACGCGGATCGGGATACCCCCAGAGCTCCATTTACAATAACAGGGATAAAATTCGCACGCGTCCTTCCGCCCATCTCGGGACGCCCTTCACACAGAACGTGCCCCAGAAAAGTGCTGCACTAGTGGGAAGGTTCCACTTCCGTCCCCCACGTATTCCGACACACTCATCACACGGATCGTACCTCAAAACCGACGGCCCCAGAGACAGGGTTCGCATCCCACCGCCCCGCCCATGTTGGCACACCCCTGATATGGATCATCAGTTAGAAGCGTCTTTGGGCGTCTTGAACGCCTCTCGTGGGCTCGCGGCGTGATTCTCAAGGGCCTCTTGAAGCCTCTGCATGGCCTCTTGGGGTTCTCTCGGCGTCCCTCCGGGGCCACTCGGGAACTTCTGGGGGGTTCTTAAAGTTTTGGGGCGCCTGTCGAGGTCTCGGGGGCATGTTGGGAGCCACGCCTCCAAGATACTGCCCCACGACCGCTCTTGGCACCTTCGTGGGGCCCTCTAAGGCCTCCCGTGGGGCCCTCTTGGGGCGCCTTGGGCGCCCTTGGGACCGCCTGGGCCTAGATTGATCGAATTTGTCGCGCTTGCGGCTGCAGGGACATGATCAACGTGGTGAGGGAACACTAAAAAGGGCCCAGGGACACACAAAACACCGCCGACCCTGTCGGAGTGTGTGGGGTGTCTGTCCGGTCCCGTCGACGGGGAGCCTTCTTTCGTCCCCTCCTTCCCATCCTCCTCTCCCGTCGGGGGAGCGAGAGAGAGAGAGAGAGAGAGAGAGAGCGCCCTCCCTCTTTCGAGGAACGGGTTCGCAGCTGGAGGGGATTCCATCCACGTCCTCATTACGTCAAAAGGAAGCCCCTTCCCTTTGTCCCTTCCCCGGCGGGGGGTGGGTCTGGTGGGGTAGGGGGAGGGGGTCAGATTCGCATCGCCTCTAGTGGTCCTCCTCTCCCACGCCGATCCTTCTCCGGCGCGCCGGTCCTGGTCGGGTCATCCTCCCCTGGTGGGGAGGAGTCCCAGGGGGGAGTCAGATACGCATCCGCCCTTGGGGGTCCTCCTCCCCCTCCCCTCCCCTCTCCCACGCCAGTCCTCCTCCGGTTCTCCTTCCCAAGGGGTGGGATCCCAGGGGGAAGTCCTTTTCCTTCTCCTTTTCCTCCTCCCCGTCCTCCTCTTCCTCCTCCTCCTTCTCCTCCTCCTCCCCCGCCTGGTCGTCGCCGATGTCTTTCAGGGTCGGCGGCACCAGCCGTCAGGCCTTACCAATAAATGGACACAAATGCAAAATTTCCCCATATTTTTGAAATTTCGTCTTCCCCTCCACATCCCATTCGTCTTGAAGAGGGGAGGAGTAGGATGAGTGGCCTCCTCCTCATCCTACTCCTCCCCTCTTCCTCCTCCTCCTCCTCCTCCTCCTCCTCCACATCCACCTCCTCCTCCTCCTCCTAATCCTCCCCTCTTCCTCCTCCTCCTCCTCCACCTCCTCCTCCTCCTCCTCATCCTCCTTCGCTCGCCACGACCACACCAAAAGATAGCACCAGTACTACAATGTGGGCCGGCGGAATGAGCCAAGCGATGACACAAGTGGGTTTCCAAATGCCCCGAGTAACTCAGAGGGTGAGCGATCCGGCATACGTGGGCTGCACCCACTTGGCGGAGTCATCTAACCTCTCTCAGCCACTTGGGGCTTGTGCAACCCACTTCTAAGCCAGGTTAGGCCAGATACAAGTCTCATCGACATCCACTGATGAGCCAGCTATCCCCCTAGCGCCCCCCGCGCCGAACCCAGTAAGCTTCAGATAGACTCATAGAGCACGTGTGCCTTCCAGCCGAGGGGTCCCCCACGGCCCCGAAAGCAGGGGCGCAGGAGAGCCCACAATCGAATCTAAAATCAGATCGGTGGTTGGAGTCGGGTCGGTGGAAATCGGCAGAAGCGGGAGAAGCATGATCGGCGGGCAGTTGGCAGGCGAATGGTGCCTCCATCGAGACATCGAGAGCCAGACCGAAACTTCGAAACAAAAATCGGATCAGAGTCCACCGAGATCGAATCGAACCGAATCGGAGTCGAAATGAGCCCCCAGGGGAGGGGAGGGGGAGGAGGGGGAGGAGGAGGAGGAGGAGGAGGAGGAGGAGGAGGAGGAGGAGGAGGAGGAGGAGGAGGAGGAGGAGGAGGAGGAGTAAGAGGAGGAGGAGGAGGAGGTGGAGGAGGAGGAGGAGGAGAGGAGGAGGAGGAGGAGGAGAGGACGAGAAGGAGGAGGAGGGGAGGAGGAGGAGGAGGAGGAGGAGGAGGAGGAGGAGGGGGAGGAGCGGGGGAGGAGGAGGAGGAGGAGGAGGAGGGGGAGGTGCGGAATGAGGAGGAGGAGGCGAGAGGAGGAGGAGGGGCGTCGCGCTCCACGCAGAGGTCGCCCCGTGCGCGCCTCGCGGCGAGGAGGTCGGCGGGCCCGCGGGGGGGCCCGGGGCCACTGGGAGCCGACGTGGGCCGCGCGGCGGCGGGAAGCACCTGCCCGCAGCAGGTCCGCTCTGTCTTGGGACAGCGGAGGAGGAGGAGGAGGAAAAGGAGGAGGAGGGGAGGACTGAGGAGGAGGAAAGGGGAGAGGAGGAGGCGAGGAGGAGGAGGAGGAGGAGGAGGAGGAGGAGGAGGAGGAGGAGGAGGAGGAGGAGGAGGAGGAGGAGGAGCGGAGGTGGAGAGGAGGAGGGAGGAGGAGGCCGACGTGGGCGCCTGCCCGCGTCGGCCGACGTGCGGCCTGCCCGCAGGTCCGCGCTATCTTGGGACGCACAGGTGCATACGAATGCAATCTGTCCTCCTTGGAGGCGTTCGTCCACCCCGAGCATATGGTATACCCGTCTTGGGACGCACCTGCCCGCAGCAGGTCCGCTCTGTCTTGGGACGCACAGGGGCATACTAATGCAGTCTGTCCTCCTTGGAGGCGTTCGTCCGCCCCGAACATGCAGTAGACCCGTCATGTAGCACGTCTACCGCTTCCCGAGCGGCATGGCCAGCATGCGCCCGCCACGACGCAGAAACTTCGAGATTTCTCGGTGCGCGCGCCGCCCCTGGGGGGGCGACGCACACATCGTAGAAGTATGCTGGGGTGACGCCGACTGAAACCTGTCTTTGGTCGAGCTGCTGGCGGAGTGGCAGCAGCTGGCGGCGAGAGCGGCAACGGGCACAGCGCCACACCGCGTGATGTCTCCGCAGCACCAGCCGCACAACAACAACAACAACAACAACAACAACAACAACAACAACAACAACAACAACGACGACGACGACGACGACGACGACGACGACGACGACGAGATGAAGAAGAAGATGTGAGCAACGCCCTCGGCGAAAAATGTGTATGCTTGTATTTTAATCCTCGCGCAAAGCTGCTCAACCTCCCCCTGCCGCGCAGGGTGACCCAAGGAGCAGTATCCCCTGGGAGAAAGAGTCCCATCCACAATCATCCAGCCCGCCCAACAATGGAGGGGCAATAATATCCGCGGCGACGACGGAGACGACGACGCTGACGACTAGAATTACGACTACGACTGCGACTACGATTACGACAACGACCACTGCGATCACGACAACCTCCAGTACAATCACGACTGCAACCACGACTGCAATCACGACTACACCAACAGAAACTGCTTCAGACTGCGGTCCTCGTGAGAGGATGCTCACGCATCGTCTAGGGTTGCCCACACTGGACTGTTCCTTGGGAGAAATAAGCCCCAGACATCATCAAGCACGCCGAACGATACAGGGACAATAATTCCACACGCGACGACGTCGACGACGACGACGATAACGACCACGAGGAGGAGCAGGGTGAGGAGGAGGAGGAGGAGCAGGAGGATGACGAGGAGAAGGGGGGAGGGAGGAGGAGCAGGAGAAGAGGGACCAGGAGGCGGAGAAGGGGCGAGTTTGTTCCCCGCCGAGAGAAACAAGGAGGGTGATCCAAAACTACAGACCTCCTAGAGATAACGGCGACCGATTAGCGGCACATGACGGCACACGCCCCGCGCCAACCGTGCACCAATCGCCCCCTATTCGCCGACAGTGGCCGCTAAACGCGAGGTCACACGTACTGTCGAGTCTTGTACCGCCGCAAGCTTATATTTGGCCATGGTGCCGCCTCGGAATGCCCTGGATGCGAAATTTGGGGAAGCCAAAAGGTACCGATACAGCTACTCCCCGGACCTCTCCCAAGTTGCGATCTGACCAGAATTTCGAAGCGAATCCAGCGGTTGCGACGACGGAGGCCCAGGAGGCCCGTAAAGGGGGAAACGGGCGCAAGGTAGGGGTATAAGTACCTTTTCCTCCTCGGAGAATTGTCGAGTTGGTTATATATATATATATATATTGGCGACGGCGCCTGTGGTGAACCACTCGTTCAGTGCCCTCGGTGCGCTATCGGGATGTGGTAAGGGGCTGACATCATTCTCGCCCGTCGTCCGACGTCTACTCATCGCGCTGTTGAAATCCAGCGCTGGCGCCGTGAGCACTTGCCCCACACAACAAACGAAGCGAAATGGAAGCAGGAGTTGATGGGCTTGCTTCCCACCACCACCACCACCACCATAAGTTGGAGGGGGAGGGGGCCTCCTCCTCCTCCTCCTCCTCCTCCTCGTCCTGCACCTCCTTGCCCACTCCAACTTCTGGTGGTGGTGGCGCAAAACAAGCCAATCAGGAGTAAGCGAGGGCATCCTCTGGAATTCGGGTCATAACTCGGCCCGCTGGCGGCCGTTCGGTGTGGACCGCGGGGAAACGACGAAACGCCCGAAAGCCTGGAGTTTTGAGCCTGTCGTCCTCCCTGAAGCCCTCAACGCTGCCCTCGATCCGCGGTCAGACGCGATCGCCTGGGGTGCTTTCTGACCAGGAGCTCGACTTGGCCTCAGCCATGGCCACAAAGGCACCCCAGCACGGTCAGCAACCGTCGGAAAACAACCCGCGATCCTCGAAGCTCTCGGCCGATTCCCCCCGAGTTGAAGAGCAAGCCCGGGCGCCTGTGCCCCCATCAGGCAGATCACCCGCGCGGCCTCCGGCACGATCCCGTCGGCGCACACCTCGGCGCCGCGTCGGGACGCTGGGGCGCCTCCCCTGTGCCGCTGCGGGCGCCGCGGTGCCGACACCGCCCATGGGCCTCTCGGGGGGGCGAGGGCCACCTGGGACTACTCGCGGGCCGGTTGAGATAGACGAGAGGTGCACCTTCGGGCGAGGACTGCATCGCGAATCTCCGAGATCGGGCAGCTCTGGAGGATGCCTTGGGCGCCGCAGCCCTGTCAGAGCGTTGCGGAACTCTCTGAGAGCCGTTCTGGAAGGCTCTGGAACGGATGCCTCCTCGTCCTATGAAGGGGCCCCAGGACACACCAATAAATACACACAAATAAATAGATTCCCCATACTTCCTTATATTTTCTGGGTTATTGTCTTCCCCACCACTTCCCATATTTTCCCATATTTTCTGGGGGATCGACGATCCATTGTGTCTGTGTGTTTTTTCCCTCCTGATCCTAGCCCCGTCCGACTGCTGGGACCGCTTGGGGCGCGGAGCGCCCTTCGAGCGCCGCACGGAGGCGGCGCAAAAGAGTGCAATCGCCGCCCCGGGCTACGTTTGGGAGGCTCGCGGAGGCCAGCTGGGACTCCTTCGGCGGGCTGTTCTGACTACCTACCAAACCACCCCAACCCAACCCGAAGATCCGAACTTCGGGTTGGGGGGAGTATGGGCTCCATACGTGTTTGTTCGATGTTCCCGGACCCCCCCCCCACTGGAAAGGGAGAGCAAATTGAGGCCTTCGGGTTGGGTCGGGGTGGCTTGGTGGGCGGGCTGGTTCGCGCGCAACTCGAACCCCGAGACCGACGTAGCGACACACAGCGTCGTGCAAAAAAGGCGACCCGGAACCCCGGGCCCCACATTCAGGCATCTCGCCATCGCTCGGACGTCCATTCCCTGTGTTTTTGTTCCGGTTTCGTGCGTGGTTGCTTCGCCAAATGATCGAGGATGCTCCTCGATGGTCCTCGCCGAAAGAAAAAATGCACACCTCCGAGCGATGCCAAGACGTAGCGACACACAACGTCGTGCCAAAACGCGACCGGAACCTCGGAGACCCCGCCTGCCTGCACGAGATGCCTCGAGCCAGAGCGATCCGTGAGGGCCCAGTGGCCCGATCTTCCACCGAAGCCGCCAGGGCTCGAACACGTTGAGACGCCAGGATCTGAAGACCTACAGTTGGGGCGTTGACCCAAGGAACCCCAAAGAAGGAACGGGGCCCCTTCTTCCCATCAGTTAAACTCCGATTTTCCCATGGAAAACCTAAGGAAAACACAGGAAGCACTGTAACACAACTAAGGAACACGGAGCCCCTCCCAAACGAAAAGGGTTCCTTCTTCACCGCCCCGACTGTACTGAGTATCGTCCAACCGCTCCCCATCCCCAGCGGCGTGGCCTGGGCCCTGCTGGCCCCCGAGGCTGTAGCAGTCTTTAAACGTAAAGTGCGCGCTGCGCTACTACGAGAGCCACATCTTGAAGAGGGGCCGACAACCATCCGTGAAACTGATGCAAAGTTCTGCACATCCGTGAAGCTGATGCAAATGTTGAACACGAACCACCCTCCACTTTGAAACTATGTTCGAACGTCCTGGTCATAAGCGGTGAAAATGTCTCATGCGATCACGCCCGGCCCGCCCTACCACTACGTTTGGGGTGCGACAGAGAAGGCTTATGTCAGAGGAGAAAAGATGGAGGAGGAGGGGGAGACAGAGGATGGCGGGAGGCGGAAGACCCAGACCCTCTTGAGTCGTCAACGCAATCACGAACGACCATCCTTCATTGTTTCTTTACCTCCCAGAGCCACTTGCGGGGCCTCGGCGCAGCTTTAAACAATACTCTAGATGAAAAACACTACACAGCAAAGTGTCCAGGCTCCGGAGGGTACACGTCACGAAACAAATGTTAACGGCGGGGGTCTGGGCAAAGAGGGGGAGGGGGAGGGGGGGGAGGAGGAGGGCCCAGTGCATTCGCACGCAGAAACAGAGGTTAGCTTGAAAACAAGGCACAAGATGAGGCCAGATGCAGAGGCGAACGCGATGACTGAGGAGGAACCAGGGGGCCGAAGATGGCCGAAGACATATGGGCTCGAAGGCGTCTCAGAGCCTCGATCCTCCAGCCTCTACCCTCGCTGCTCGGCCCTCCAACCTCAGACTTAGGTCGGGCATGTCCCCCTACAGGCGGATCTTGGACGAAAAATGAAAATCGTCAAAGAGAACAACAACAACAATACTGAAAAATGGTCCGCAGCAAGTCGTTCCCAGAGCATGTGTGGACTACTTGTTGCATACTCCTCCTGCAGAGGGACAGGCCCGACTTAACCTCAGACCCGTCCAAACTCAGCCCTCCAACCTTCGACCTCGACCCTCCAACCTCGGCCCTCCGACCTCGATCCTCCAACCTCCGAACCTCGACTTGAGTCGGGCGTGATCCTCTACAGGAGGAGTACTCAAACACAGTCCCAAAAAACACTGGGACGATTTTTTTTAACATGTCTGCACATGTTTTGCTATCTGTTCCAAGGCGTTACTTTTTCCTGTGCGAGCTCCTCAGCACCGCCTGCACCCCGCGCCCTCCGGCCGCCTGAGGCCCCGCCCGCCCGTGCTTTGTCTCCCCAGTTAGTGCCATGCGCGGCCCGCCTAGCTCTGAACCGGAAGAGGCTCGCTCTCGACCCGCAGACCAACAAAAGTGTTGCTATCTTTGATGGTTCCTCCAGAAATCTGCCTGCAGGGGGACGTGCCCGACCCAAAAACCTCGACCCTGACCTCCACCCTCGCTCCTCCTCGCTGCCCCACGGCGGCGGCGGCGGCGGCGGCCAGCGCGCCGCGTCTGGCCATCGCTCGGACGTCCATTCCCTGTGTTTTTGTTTGTTGGTTTCGTGCGTGGTTTTTTTCGCCAAATGATCAAGAATGCTCCTCGATGGTCCTCGCCGAAGAAAAAAAGCACACGTCCGAGCGATGCCAAGGCGTGGCGCTGCCCCCAGGGCGCCGCCCGCAGGCCCCCGGAGGCCCTAAGGGACGCCCAAAGCCCTCAGCTCGATCCTCGAGCCTCGGACCTCACCGGATCTCCGGCGGTATTGAAGGGGCCCTGGGACACACAAATAAATACACACAAATAACAGGATTCCCCATTCGTTTCCCATATGTTCTGGTTTTTGTCTCCCCCCCAGTTCCCACATGTTCCCATATTTTCTGGGGAATCGACGATCCATTGTGTCTGTGTGTTCTTTTCCCTCCTGACTAAGAGACGCCCAGGAGCCTCAGCTCGATTCTCGAGCCTCGAGCCTCGGACCTCGCCGGATCTCCGGCGGTATGATGTTGACCGTCTGGGCGTCTCTGCCCCGGTCTCGGCGCCATGGGGCTCGCTTTAGGTGGGGCGTGTCCCCCCACAGGCGAATTCTTGGACGAAGAAGAAACAGGACCCTCTAAACATATGCAAAACGGCTAAACGATTGCTATAACAAAAAGTCGTCCCCTGACTTGTGTTCTGCATATTGTTCATGATCCCGCCTTCCGACTTACGGCCGGCTTACGGCTCGCTGCCAGGCTCACGCCCGACTTACGGCTCGCTGCCGGGCCCGCGGACCATCAAAAAGACGGACACTGGGCGAAAGGCTGTCCCTGGGGAGCCCCCCGCCGGGGCGCTGGTCGGGGCCTGGCGCCACGCCTCGGGAACCCCCCTCTCATCCTGATCCTCCTCCTCCTACTCCTCATCCTCCTCCTCTCCTTCCTCCCTCCCCTCATTCTCCTCTTCCTCCTCCTTTCTCTCCTCCTTCCTCCCCCTCCTCTTCTGCCTCCGCTCTCCTCCTCCCTCCTCCTCCTCCTCATCCTCGTCTCCCTCTTTTGTTTTTTTCCCAAACCTACTTGGTTGGGTATTCGTTTTTTGAATAGGCAGCAGTGTGGTTTCGCGTCCCTAACCTAAGCCCTTCCTCCCTCCCTGCCTTTTCCTGTCTTGCCTTGCGGGGGGCTGCGCTGTGAAACTGTCGCCATTTCCGTGGCCGGCTGGGGGGCCCAGCGCAGTGAGGGCCACGCGCTGATTCAAATTAGACCTCGCCATCCCTGGGGAGATTCGGTGTGCGAAACTGTCGCCATTTTCGAAGCCTGCTGGGGGGGCCCAGCACAGTGACGCCACGCGCGGACCCAAATTAGACCTCGCCATCCCTGGGGGGCTGCGATGTGTGAAACTGTCGCCACTGTCGAGGCCTGCTGGGGGGCCCAGCACAGTGACGCCACGGGCGGACCCAAATTAGACCTCGCCATCCCTGGGGGGCTGCGATCTGTGAAACTGTCGCCACTTTCGAGGCCTGCTGGGGGGCCCAGCACAGTGGGTACCCACGGCGGATTCAAATTTGACCTCGCCATCCCTGGGGGGCTGCGATCTGTGAAACTGTCGCCACTTTCGAGGCCTGCTGGGTGGTCCTGCATAGAGGGTAATCGCGGCGGATTCAAATTAGACCTCGCCATCCCTGGGGGGCTGCGATCTGTGAAACTGTCGCCACTTTCGAGGCCTGCTGGGGGGCCCAGCACAGTGAGTACTCACCGCAGACTCAAATGGGACCTCGCCATCCCTGGGGGGCTGCGTTCTGTGAAACTGTCGCCACTTTCGAGGCCTGCTGGGGGGCCCAGCACAGTGACGCCACGGGCGGACCCAAATTAGACCTCGCCATCCCTGGGGGGCTGCGATCTGTGAATCTGTCGCCACTTTCGAGGCCTGCTGGGGGGCCCAGCACAGTGACGCCACGGGCAGATTCCTCTGAAACCTCGCCATCCCTGGGGGGCTGCGATCTGTGAAACTGCCGCCATTTTCGAGGCCTACTGGGGGGCCCAGCACAGTGAGGGCCACGCGCGGATTCAAATTAGGCCTCGCCATCTCTGGGGGGGCTGCGATCTGTGAAACTGTCGCCACTTTCGAGGCCTGCTGGGGGGGCCCTGCACAGTTACGCCACGGGCATATTCAAACGAGACCTCGCCATCCCTTGGGGGCTGCGATCTGTGAAACTGTCGCCACTTTCGAGGCCTG